AAAGGGCGCCGAAAACCACGGGGGGGGGGGGGGCGCCGAAAACCAGAGGGGCGCCGAAACCAAATGGGCGCCGAAAATCAGATGGGCGCCGAAAATCAAAGAACCGCCGAAAACCAAAAGGGGCACCGAACATCAAAGGCGCGCCGAAAACCAAAGGAGCGCCGAAAGCCACAAGGGCGCCGAAAACCAGAGTAGCGCTGAAAACCTAAGGGGCAAGGTAGCTCCGAAGCCCCCCCCTTCAGCCAGGGCCCTCCGGCTGGAAATGCCAGCAGAAGGAGGGGAAGGGGCGGAGCTTCGTAGGCCCCCGCCCCTTTTGGAAAGGGGAGCCCGGGCTTACCCCGGGCCCCGAATTGAGGGGGAGGGGGGGGAGGTTCCAAGCCCTCCCCACCAGGGACCCCCCAGCTACAAATCCACACAAAGAGGGGAATAGCTTCGGAAACCCCTCCCCCCTCTGGAAAGGGGAGCCCGGGCTTACCCCGTGCCCCGGAAGGAGGGGGGGGGTAGCGTCCAAGCCCCCCGTTCGTTTCAGCTGCCCCCCCCCCCCCCAGCTAGCTACAAGATGCCGACCCAAGGGGGGGAGGAGGGGTGAGCTTGGGAAGCCCCCCCTCCCCCTTTTCCAAGGGAGGGGGGGGGGGTAGCTGGAAACATAGGCCCTCCTTTTCTTATTCCCGTCGCTGCGTGGGCGCTGTTTCCTATCTCGGGGAAACCACAGGGAGCCAATGCCGCTGCTCCCTGGACCTCTCCCAGGATGCGTTCTGACCAGAATTCCAAGGCGAATCCAGCGGCGGCGACGAGGGCCTCAAGACCTCGAGCGGGTTGTAATGGGGGGGGTCCATATGTAGCCAGCAAGGGCCCCAAACGGGCCCTAAAGGGCCCCTTCAGGGCCCTTTTCTTCACCCCCCATTAAGACCACCCGCCCGAAAACCAAAAGGTACGGATACCGCTACTCCGCGGACCTCTCCTGGGGAGCGCCCTGACCAGCAGTGCCAGGCGAATCCGGTGGCGACGAGGGCCTCACAGGAGGCCGAACAAAGAGGGAAATGGGCGAGGGGTAGCGGCATGGGTACTTTTTTCTCCTCTGATCTCAGAGGCCTCCTACATGTGCTCGGAGTAGACGGGGTCGGAGGATCGCGCCGCATCGCCGATACATCGGCGATGCAACGCCGATGCATCGGCGATGCATCAGCGATGCGTGAGCCCCACATCGAGCCGCATCACCGATACATCTCGGATGCATCGGCGATGCGGCGCGATCCTCCGACCCCACCTACTGCGACCCCATCTGCTTGGTTCGCCTTGAATCTGCCCAGTGCGTTTTTAGAGCGTTTTCAGCTCGGCGTCTGGGAAATCATTGTATTAGCGCTTTCAGCTTGAACACGAAAAGAAAAACAAGCCCACAAAAACACCAAAACAACTGCCCTACACACGAGGGAACAAACACAGCGTGTTTTTTCGTGCGCCCTTTTCGGCCTGTGGAGATCCCCAAAATAGAAAACGCTGAACACATCAACCAGGGCGCTTTTGAGGCGAACCAAGCCCATCTGGGAGGCCCGAGGAGATCTGCCCTGACTCCAGATCCGCCCTACTTTGGGTTTTTCCCCCAACTTAAAATTGCGTCGGACACCCTCTTATAAGGAGCCGAAAAAGTAGGGCGGATATTTCTGCACCCAGCATAAAATAGGGCAAAAATCCACAGAAGTAGGGCGCTTTGGAGGCGAACCACACCCATCTGGGAGGCCCGAGGAGATCTGGGCCAGAGGTCCGTCCGGGCGCCGGCAGTGCACGCCCGACGCGCGCCCGGACCTCCGAGCCGAGGCCGTGCCGCCCCGCGAGGGGCTCTGCCGGGGGGCTCTGCCCGCGGCGTGCCGCTCGCGGGCTCCGCGGAGCCGCCGGCGAGGGGCACCGCCGAGGGGCGCCGGCTGCGTGGCCCCTGCTTTTTTGGGGCGGCCGGGCTGCTGAAGCTGTCGATATTTCGTGCGCTCATCCTCTCGCAAGGTGGTCCAGGATTGTTTTTTTTTAATGTTTTTTTGTTCCAGCGCTATTTTGGAGAGGAGGGAGGAAGAGGCGAAAGGGAGACAACGCACACACCTGACGAAGTCGCAAGATGGTCCAGGGTGCTCCTCGATTTCGGTGGCAACTCGCGGGAGCCTCTCGTACCATCTTGTCAGCCCCGGCGAATGGACGCTAATAGACGCTAGTCGACGCTAAGCGACGCTGAGTCGACGCTGATCGACGCTAACCGACGCTAGATCGGCGCCATCTGATCGACTCCCGGGCTCTAATCGACGCTAGTCGGCGCGAAAGACGGAATTGCGGGGGCATGCCAGGCTCCCATGATTTGCTGCCGATCTCGATGGTCCTCGCCGAGGAAGCAGAAAACGCACGCGTCCTGGCGAGATAAGCATGCCGAGCCCCCCGTTCGCTTATGTCGGGCGTGTCCCCCTACACGGGGATTTTCGACGAAGAATCAAAAATACTCAAAACAAATGCACCAAAAAGGTCGAACAATACCCAAACAAGAACCCCCAGACTATTTTTGGATATTTTTTTACTATTTTGGGGGTATTTTTTAAATTGTCGTCGAAAATCCCCCTGTAGGGGGACAGGCCCGACTTAACCGTTCGCCGTCGCCCCCTCTGCCGGCCGCGCCCCCGAGCTGGCCTGCAGGCCGGGAGCTGCGCGCAGGCGGGGCCCGCTGGGCAGGCAGCGGGGGAGGCCGGGGCCCGGCGGACGGAGGTCCGTCGAGTCGAGCCGAAGCGTCGCACCGCCGAGCTAGCCTGCAGGCCGGGAGCTGCGCGCAGGCGGGGCCCGCTGGGCAGGCAGCGGGGGAGGCCAGGGCCCGGCGGACGGAGGTCCGTCGAGTCGAGCCGAAGCGTCGCACCGCCGAGCTAGCCTGCAGGCCGGGAGCTGCGCGCAGGCGGGGCCCGCTGGGCAGGCAGCGGGGGAGGCCGGGGCCCGGCGGACGGAGGTCCGTCGAGTCGAGCCGAAGCGTCGCACCGCCGAGCTAGCCTGCAGGCCGGGAGCTGCGCGCAGGCGGGGCCCGCTGGGCAGGCAGCGGGGGAGGCCAGGGCCCGGCGGACGGAGGTCCGTCGAGTCGAGCCGAAGCGTCGCACCGGATCGGAATCGGCATCGAATCGAAAGACAGAAGCACAAAAAAACATACAAAACCCAGGACCGGCCAACAAAAGCAGGACAGGTCTTGTGTGCTCTTTTCATGCATCGGGTGGGCATCGGATCGAATCGGCATCGGCATGCCAGCTTGCAGAATCGGATCGGGTCGGAATCGAAATCCAAGCGGTTGCAAATCGGCCGCGCAAGCCGAATCGGAATCGAATCGAAATTTAAACCTGGACGCACATCGGAATCCGTGCGCGCCGCGAAAAGCAATTGCGATGCATTGTCGACGCTGGTGATACATCGGCGACATCGACGTGAAGCAAATCGGGCTTCGCATCGTGCCGCATCGGCGATGCATCGGCGATGCGGCGCGATTCTCCGACCCCATCTACTCAGACCCCCTCTGGGAGGCCCAGAATGCACAGACACTCTCCGACGAACTTCGCATGTGCCTTCCGGGGGGGCGGCGGAGCAGAGAGTCGGTGATTGCACACCGCGGCCCTCCCTGGAGGCCCAGGAGCAATCCCCTGGAGGGCGTCGGTGTACTTCTTTTGTGGCGGAGGAGGAGGAGGAGGAGGAGGAGGAAGAGGAGGAGGAGGAGGAGGAGGAGGAGGAGGAGGAGGCACTGGCGCCCCGCCCCCCCCCCCTGGAGAGCCCGAGGGGGCGCCCGCAGGAGCCCCGGCGGCCGGCTCGTGAGCCTCCCTGCCAGGCGCAGCAGAGAGCCACCAGCCACCACCAAGTGGGCGGCGACCCAAAGCGAGCCTTGCGCGAGCCGGCAGAGCGACCCTGCGCGGCGGCTTCTCGAGGGGCATCGCCAGGGGGGGACTGGCATAGGAGGGGGGGGGGTGGGACCTCGGCCTGGAATCGGCGACACATCGCCGATAGATCGGCGATGCTCCCCTGATAGCAGATCCGCGCGTTCCTGGGCGGCGTGGGGCTATCAGACCCCCTATCGGCGATCAATGGGCGATCACGGGTCGATGCATTTCCCCCCTATGCCTAGCCGCCCCCCCCGCCCCTGTCGTAGCCCCTGACTTGCGCGGGCCGCCAGCGCGGCACGCTTCGTTGGAGCAGAGGGCGCCTGCGCGCTCACGAGCGACCTCACGCGGGCAGCTTGCGCGCCCATGGCGGCGCAGACGACCCCGCTCTTGCTGCGCCGCTCTAGCGCAGTGGCTTTTTCCGGAAACTTCCTCGGGGGAGAGCCCGCCGACCTCGACGCGCGCACATTCGGTGGAGGCTGTGGCCGATCTGGCCGTCCTGGGACGTCACGTCGACCAGAACCAGCACGGTGGGGGTATTGGATAAGGAACCCTTCGATCAGGAATCCAGGGTCTGACAGCCAGGGGAACGTCACTTGAGGCTGTGTCATGGACAGCATCGCCGCCCTCATGAGATAAGGAGTCCCCAGGGCTGGAAGCCTCCATGGCACATTGCTTAACGAACGCCCCCACCGTACTAAGCTGGCTGTGGAGTTCTGACGACTGTTGGCATGCGCAAGACATCCCCCGAAGGTGAATTTTCGATGTGGTCGTGGTCGTCTGCTGCCCCCGCGTCCCTGACTCCGGATCCGCTGTAGTCTGGTTAATTTTCCGACCGCAAAATGTGTCGGGAAGGCAGCCAAAACAATGCAAAACAATAGGGCGGAAATTTCCGCCTCGGAAAAATAGGGCGAGCATTTCCGCAAAAGCATGGCGGCAGCAACGACGGCAAAAGAGGGCGGAAATCGAAATCAGAAGAGCTTGAAACGTAGGGCGGAAATTTCCGCCCTACTGGCGAAATCGCACAAAATACCAGATCCTGTGTCAGGGCTGTGGGGGTGGACGAAATGGACTTTCATTTCGTCCGCTTTCGTTAGGTCCTCTTTCGATTTGTCATCTTTCGATTTGTCATATGTTTTCAAAATTCTGTCATAAACAACGAACGCACCTGGATTTGCGCCTGCCCACCGCGCTTCTGACCTGGGCGATTTCACAACTTGTCGTTCCGGCATCCACACCAAACATCTTCAAGGAAACCTGAGATCACCGAAATGCGTTGTACTCAAACGGTCTTCGGCAGCCTGCGCAGTGCTAGCGCGTACGCTGCCCCAGATGAATTCAACTTTCTCTCTGGACCACTGCGCAGTTCCACGCACCGCATGCGTCCATTTCCCGCGGCTGAAATCACTGGTGTTGAACTCATGTGCAATCAGGACGGTGTTTTCAGGAGCGTATCCGAAGTCATTTTCCAGACGCTCGAGCGACACTCGCCAGTCAGAGTTCGGAACCAGATATTGCAATGGCACTCCTGAATAGTGGCAGCGCCCCTGCTGCTGCAACAGTTTGTCCAACAATATATCCAAATTCAAATCGCAAGCATGTCCTCGCTTAATGGCTCGCCTTCGTGCTCCACACAATAAGATCACCATGTTGCCCCGGAGTGTACGGGAATACGTGAATCTGTATGCTCGCGTGCATCCACGACAATGGAGGGATATATCAGTACAGGGCTCTATGCACCCCCTGTCAGCGCACTTAGCACAATAAAAATGCGATGCGTGCTCCTGCGTACCCACACTCGCTCCATTCAGACGCGTGCGGCCAGCATTGGGAGCACGTGCCTCGTGGATGAGCTCTTCCAATCGCTCGCGATCAGCTCTGCGGCTCCGCAGCGTGAACACGTCAAATACTTTCTTGCGAGACCATTGCGCTGTACCGCATACTTTGTGAAGTCCTACTTTGTTTCGGCTGGCATCGCCAGAATTGAACTCAGCCGCTATCAGCACGCAGTTATCTACAGTGTAGCCCGCGCTCAAGGGACACTCGCCAATTTGAGTTCGGGACAGCGCATTCCATCTCAACGTCAGAATAGAAGCACCTGCCCGACTGTTGGGAAAGCATGCGATGTATGCTGTCCGCGCAGATCTCGCACTGCAGACCCTGATCCCTCGATCTGCGACGCGCCCCCGATGCCAACGCAACGGCAGTGCCATGCACTGAATGCCTCCATTGTCGTTGCATTCTCGATGAACACTGCTTACAAACAGTGTGCCATCCACTTTTCCGAGCGCGATTCTTCCAAAAATGACTGATCGCCTTTCGCAAACCACACTGTGCGCATACCTGCTCTCCAAAATCTTCGTGGACAACGCTGTCATTTTCTCGAAGTGGACTGGTAAACTCGATTTCCTCGCGTGTTGGCGCAATTAAGCGCGAATATTCCACACTACATGACTTTTGCGACTGATGCATCTCGTGACGGCTTTTGTCCGCTGCAATGCAGAGACGCCGGGCATGCAAAACAGCGCGGTCGGGGAATGCTCTACGGTTGCAGCGAGCCGTTGGGCGCGCAAAGCGGCCAATCGTGACGAGCGGGGGGCGAACCATACGCAAAAACTACCCTTAAACAAACTCAGCTTGAATCGAATGGCTTGTGCCAAAATCGCTACGGATTTTCGATTTGTTATCTTTCGTTTCGTCTCCTCCCTGACTCCGGATCCGCTGTACTCGGGTCGATTTTCCGACCGCGAAACGTGTCGGGAATAGAGAATAGAACCAAAGCGATGCGAAAAGGTACGGCCGAAGTTTCCGTCTCGGAGAAGTGGGGCGAACATTTCCGCGAAGATATGGCGGAAACAGCGACAGCGAACTTGGGTGGAAATCGGCATCGGAAGGAGCCTGAAACTTAGGGCGGACATGTCCACCCTGCTGACGAAATCGCGCAAAGTACGGCGGATGAGTCCAAGGCTGTGGGGATGGGCGAGGTGAACTTTCATTTCGTCCGCTTTCGTTTCGTCCTCTTTCGATTCGTCGTCTTTCGATTTGTCATCTGACATCTTGCGTTTCGTCTCCTCCCTGACTCCGGATCCGCTGTACTCAGGTTGATTTTCCGAACGCAGAATATGTCAGGAATACAACCAGAACGATGCGAAAAGAGGGCAGAAACTTCCGTCTGGCAAAATGGAGCGAATATCTCCGCGATGTTATGGTGAACTCAGCGACGGCAAACTAGGCCGGAACTCGACATCAAAGAACTTAAAACGTAGAGTGGACATTTCCGCCCTACTGACGAAATCGCCCAAAGTAAGGCGGATCCGGAGTCCAAGGCTGTGGGAATGGGCGAGGTGAACTTTCATTTCGTCCGCTTTCGTTTCGTCCTCTTTCGATTCGTCGTCTTTCGATTCGTCATTTTTCGTGTCGTCTTCTTCCTGACTCCGGATCCGCTGTACCCTGGTTGATTTTCCGAGCGCAGAATGTGTCGGGAATACAGCCAAAACGGAAGTTTCCGTCTCGGAGAAGTGCAGCGAGCATTTTCGCAAGAGGGCGGAGATCGGCATCAAAGGAGCCTGAAACATCATAGAGCGGACATTTCCGCTCTACTGACGAGATAGCCCAAAGTACGGCGGACCCGGAAGAAGAGCTGTGCGAGTGGGCGAGGTGGACTTTCATTTCGTCCTCTTTCGATTGGTCCTCTCTCGATTCGTCATCCTTCGATTTATCATCTTTCGTTTCGTCGTCTCCCTGACTCTGGATCCGCTGTACCCTGGTTCATTTTCCGACTGCACAATGTGTCGGGGATACAGACAAAACGACGCGAAACAATAAAGCAGAAATTTCCGTCTCGGAGAAGTGGGGCGAACATTTCCGCAAAGGTATGGCGGAAACAGCGACGGGGAACTTGGGCGGACATCGGCAGCAAAGGAGCTTGAAACGTAACGCTTCGACACTGCTTGAGAGGCATCGCATCCCTGGGGAGGTACGGCAGGCAGACGAGGGGGGGCGAGGCTGGGGGCGGTCCTCGGCAACCTTCATCGGAGGTTGCCGGGGGTGATCCTTCTGACCTGGGAATCCCCGGGGGGGGGACTGTTTTTTTTTTTGTTCATTGTGAAGATGGGTAGTTTTTTTTCATTGTGAAGCTGGGGTAAACCCTGAAGAGAGGCGTTTTTTTCATTGTGAAGATGGGCAGTGCAAGGTATGTAGCTGCATCTCCTCAGTCTTCTGGGCCCAGAAACGCTTCGGAGAAGCTCCACGAGGGTCCCGGCGGTAGCTTGGCTGACGGCTTGCCGCCGGCTCCCAACGCTGGGGCCACCCTGGGACAGCGCCACGTCTGGCAGCACCCGCCACCCCCCTCCCCTCTTGAGAGGGAGCGGGAGCTGGGGAGACTTACTGGCCCCGGGGGGAGAAACACTGAGCTGCAATCGGCGACACATCGCCCACAGCTTCGCCAGACCGGCGAACGGCCCCCGAGAGCGAAACCGCGCGCTCCTGGGCGGGGTGGAGCGGGAACGGGAGCTGGGGAGACTGGCCCAGGGGGGGAAACATTGAGCTGCACTCGGCGACACGTCGCCGATGGACTCGACAGATCGGCGACCAGCCCCCGAGAGCGAAACCGCGCGCTCCTGGGCGGGGTGGAGAGGGAACGGGAGCTGGGGAGACTGGCCCAGGGTTACCAGCCTCGAACGTATCCCTATCCCTAAGATTGACACGCCAAAAGGCGATGACAATCTTAGGGATTCGCCCTCAAAAAATAAAGGGATCCCTAAGATTGGCATCGTGATGAGGAGATGCCCAGCATAGGTATAGGGATATGTTCCAGGCTGGTAACAGGGGGGGAAACACTGAGCTGCACTCGGCGACACGTCGCCGATGGACTCGACAGATCGGCGACAGGCCCCCGATGGAGCGAAGCCGCGCGCTCCTGGGCGGGGCGGGCAGTCGGGCCCCGACCCGCGCGGTCCACGGGCGATTGGGGGTCGACGCATTCCCCCCCTGAGCCAGACAGGCGATCGAAGCAAACAAGAACCACTGCACCGAGCAGCGATCCTTTTGGGGGACGCTGGCGAGTAGGCACTCTGCCGAAAAGGGAGCGCGCTCGGTGCTGAGCCCCATCCCTTTGGGCGCCCGAGTTATCCGGGGTAACTCGGGTCCGGGGTAACTCGGGTTTGGATTCCCGAGAAAGGAACCCGAGTTATCCCTGACCCGAGTTACCCCTGATGATTCGGGGCTCTGATCCCTCACCAGCGGAGCCCTCCGCCTCTCTCCGCGGCGCGGCCTGGACGACGAGGCCGGCACCTCGTGGTCGAACTCGGCAGTCTTCTCCTGGCACAAAGGGGCCGGGCGGTGGGGCTGGGCGCCGGTGTCTCCGCCTCCCCTTCCCCGCCCCGTCCTCCTTGCCCCCGTCCGCCTCCTCTCACAACGTTCTCCCCCCCCCCCTCTCCCCCTCCCCCCCCTCCCCTCCCCCCTCCCCCTCCCCCTCCTCCTCCTCCTCCTCCTCCTCCTCCTCCTCCTCCTCCTCCTCCTCCTCCGTCCATTTCCCTTACAGATTACTCCACCCTGTCGCACCCCGTGGCGTGTCGGGAGGGCGGGCCGGGCGTTTCGCCGGGGACGTCCCCAGCATTTACGATCCCGAGGCATAGGATTGTGCAGCTTCACGGATGGAGGGCGGGCCGATTTCAAAATGTGGCTCTCGCTATAGCGCCACGCGAACTCGTCTTACAAAATTGTAAGAATTTCCGCGTGGAGGGCAGATCGTTTTCAACATGTGGTTCTCGCTTTGGCGCCTCGCATATCCGCTTTCGACTTGAAGCCGTTTCAAGGATGGAGCGCGGCCTTTTTTTCGGAATGTGGCTCTCGCATTAGCGCCGCGCACATTCGCCCTGACATTTTGCAGCAATTTCAAGGATGAACGGTGGTTCGTTCCAAACTGCGATTCCTGCAAAAGCGCCGCGCACAATGGTTATTGCCCTCAGCGCCGCGCGCATTCGTAATAAAATGTGACATCTGTCAGATATGGTTTCGGAGGGCATCCTAGGAATGGTGTTACAGCGCGATTTAGGACTGTCATGGCGCAGCAGTCGCGTTGATTCGCGGTCCTGCAGTCCCAGGAATGGCACGCTGGCACGATTCAGGATCGTCAAGACGCAACCATAACGTTTATTCGCGGTGTTGAAATCCCACGAATGGTGTTTTGGCACGAGGGAATTCTCAGACGGCTGTCTTCTAATGCGTCCTAGCCCGCAGTCCAAATACATTTTTGTAGGGGTATGTGCAAAAGGAACTTGGATGGAGGGTTGATTGCAATATCGTTGATGCACCTTGGGTTTACACAGGTCCTCCTGCAAGTTTAACCAAACATGGTAATGATAATTGAACTCTGTGTTTACAGTGGGGGTAAATGAACGCTAGAGTACACAGCTCTGTCACACCGCCAGATGGCGGTTGCAATACTCAAGCAGAACTCTGGTAATTGCACAATACCATGGGGTCCCATACCGAAGCGCCCCCCTCAACCTGGCATCCACGGCCGGGCAAGCTGCATGGAATGTTGTATAATGCTGCCTGACCGCAAGTGGCCACGGCGAGTGACTGCCCCCCCGCACACACACATCAAGCTATGCACAGCATGCGGTAAGCAAGTGTTGTATTCAATGACATCAACGACGTGAGCGACAGAGCGGTGCAAAAGGTGGCCAGAACCATGGCGGGATCTCCGCTTTATTTCCACTTGCCACATCGACGCGGTCAGAAACACTTACTTGAAACGTTCCCGGTTAAACTCGCGTCAGACCTTAGAGAGGAAAGAAATGGAATGACGTAGGGAAATGTCCGATGGTTAGCTGTCAAGCACGTCCACCACCTTGCTTTCACAAATGATGACCTAGGCCTTTCGCCCTTCTCTTGGCCCCTGGCTGCGTCCACACGTGCGTGCTCATCCTCGCGGTTACGCTTCCCGGTCATCGCACGAACCCCTCGCGTTGTCCTTCGCGAGTCGGTCGTCGTTACATGTCGTCACACGAGTAATACTTCGCGCGGCTGGCAATGGATGTCCAGGCGTGCCTTCCCGATGGCAGAGAGGCCCCCCAGCCCTCGGGCGCGTCGCCGCATCCCGCGCCCAGCGCGCGACTGGGAAATTGGCGACGCAACCCAGGTCTACTTCAATTGTCTGCCCGAGCTCCAGGAACGAGAGAGCATTGACATGGTCGCCGCTTAGTTCGGAATCCTCAGGCTGGGCAACGCCATCATTTTTGCCGTGAACGTGCTTTCCAGCGACTCAGCAATCAATGGCGATCATGGAGACATTCGAACGGGCGCGGTTGCACTCAGGGATCGAACGCACGAGGCGGCAGTGGAGTTCATCACTTCGAGGTGTTCTCCATGAACATCGACGCCACCACCAGAAAGCCTCGCGCATGCGAAACCGAGTTGATAGACGCAATTGAGGTAATCCATTGCCGAACGAAGCTGATCGTAACCATGTGCATGGCAAACGCCTTCGGGCAGATGCACACCCGGCACGCTGATGACTGACTGGGTTCACCGGTGTCCCCTCAGCCGTGGTCTCCGCCTGGAGGAGACGATTCTCTGGCGGGCCCCTTCGGGTGACTACCACCTGTGGCCCATTGACCAATCACGGGCGGTCGACCCCCTCTCAGAATAGGCGCGCGAAGAGAGGGCGACCAATCATGACCAGAGGCGGACTG